TACGGTTGACTTACAATAACCACTTTTATGTTAACATTTTTAATTAAAAACATTACGTTATTTTCAAAGTTATTTTCTTTAGTTCGGTATTAATCCTTATCCAAATGAATATTTTAGTTAGCTTAGTCATTTAATGCAGATTAAAATTGCTCTTTACACTAAATCAATCAGATGAATAGTTTTTGAGATATCGTTGTTAGAAGTAATTAGTAGCGAAACATTTTTAATGCTTGGCGAGCATTGAGATGCCTACGGCGAATCCATCCCCTCTGCCCCGCATCGCTCGACCGCCTGCTCAAGCTATATAAACCGGGCGATGTAGCGCGCGATCCTAGGATACTTTTTACCGCGGGAAAATATCTTATTTCTGAGGAAAAATACAAAAACTGCAATGTAAGAGTATACTAATATGTAACACCTAAGAATTTAGTTTTTGGTCATCTGAACGCGGGCGGAGCCGCGGGCAATGCTAGTTATTTCATAAAGTAAAGTGGATGGAAGAAGATCAAGTTCTTATAAGACCAAGATTTTTAAAAGACCTTCTAGACTTTGACAGTTGGTTTCACTTCAGATATTGTTAAAAAAGGATTTGTTAACTTTAATATTTTATAACCTACTATTAATGAATGAACCTGAAAGGGTTTCTTTACCACACTTTGAGAAATTCTGAACTAGAAGTTGATTAATGTACACTCACAAATACTAAGTGCTTAATTTTATATTACTCTTTAGATTTAACTCATATATAAAGTAATTACATGCCATTACTCATATATAGCATTAGTGTACACGGAAATGCCGGTTTTATCACATTGTATCAAGCGTCATATTAGCATGTATTCCAAGTTAACATGACCACCGTTAGTATTAAAACTGTTATATCGATCCAGTGATAAAAGATAACATTCAAGCACCGTTTGTTTATCTGTAGATTGTTGTGTTTCTGCAAATAATTTAACCAACTTTAAATACGGAATATTCACTTGTTATAGACTTTTACATTTTATTCAGTTCATAAGTAATTTATTTCGTTATGAGATTGACGAATGAGATTGAGGCTTACTGTGGGTTTTAACTATAAAATATAACTTCTCTTGTAGAAACTATTCATATGTCCAAAAGTGTGCGTCCGTATTATTAATATTATAAATTTGAAAGTTTGTATGTACGGATGTTTGTTACTCTTTCACGCCAGAACGGCTGAACGAATCTCGATGAAATTTGGCACAGACATAGATTATCGTCTGGAATAACACATAGGGTTTTGGATCCGGAAAAATGTAAGGTTCCCGTGAGATAGCTTTGTATTTGTGTATAAGAATAATTTAATGGTACCAAATGTACTCTAAAAAAATAATTTCAATTTTATGACCAAATATGGAATAAAATTAGTCAGAACCTACATGGTATACGGTGTTTCTGGTATCTCAGGGTCGATGACCTATGAACTATTGCTTATATAAAATGCAAAATTGAAGGCAGATTTTGACTTGTGAATTATAATATTGTCTCTTTCGCACACTACCTGTGTGGGATGAAATTGAAAATTCTAACTCGCAGTATAAGATGGGTAAGAACAAAATGTGACGTCAATACATTTGCATTATTAATATAGGTATTATTCATGCTATTAATATTAGTGATTAATGACAAAAAACTACTTATCACTGCGTTTCTTCAATTATTATTATTATTTTTCTTTTTATTTCAGTTTTATTTATTAAAAAAAAATAAAAAAAACATGGTGCATCATGACAATATAATATAGCAGTATAGTTGGTATCATCCAAAATGATGACAGCACGGCATGTGACGTCATATAAAGCGCGTTAACATAGCTGTGTTTCAACGTTTCAAATAAATTTATTCTCTGTTTTTTAAATGTAAATTAAAACATTTACAAGCTTAACAATCAAAATAGTTTTGTTTAAAATATCAAATATTCGCGTAAATCTAAGAAAGTATTATTTACAAGATTATTTATATTTTTACTATAGTATAAAATATAAACAGGGAATGAAAATTACAAAAAATAAATGCATATAGTTTGTACTAGTAATACAGCAATATATGGGATAGAATCATTCAAATCAAACTTTTTGGCTTCCAAACGTTCAGTTGAGTACAGATTACCTCCTCAATATCATGTGAAATGGACAAAGATTAAAAACTATATTAACACAATCAATGTTTGTATGAATGATGTGATGAATGAAAAGCAAGAGAAACAGATTAAATAGTGAATCTCTTTTTCTCTTTGTCACTTTTTTCTAAACTCAGATAATAATTAAAAAAATAACTAGAATTGACTTAAAAACTCTTTGGAAAGCTAAACTTATTATTTTTTATTTCTAATAATATTCTCGTACAAAAGGTAGGTAGGTACAATAAAATCACAATAATATGAGGGTAGTTAAAAATAACCCGAACGTAGCAACACAAAACGTATATGTAATAACAAGAGTATACGATTTATAGCGGTTATAACCTGCACACCGCAGTAGATCGGGTTTGATAAATGATAACGCGGTGTAATCGAGCGATGTACACCCTTATCAGTGATAAGAATACAGCAAACAACTACGAGTATGGAGTGTGGAGTGGCTTTTCTAGAACAATAAGGTATATATTACTACTTTATACTGTGCATTAGAAAATATTATTTAACATTATACTTGTTCATTTTGTTTCTCCATAGGTATATTTAGAAGAAATTGTTTTGTATGTCGTGTATTTTATTTTGGTTAGATATGTGCTACAGTTCATACGTTTGTAAATAAAATTATAACCTAAAAAAAATAGCGTTGAGTTTAGAGGAATGTGTTGGTGTTTATAGTTTAAAGATTTTTATTATATTTATTCATTGTTTACGTGACTTGTTGACAGAGTCGTCAATTAGCTTAAAACGGTGGGTGTCATAGTTATAAAATATATTATAGACTTTGTAGGAATTACAATCTCATACTTAATTTGACATGTTAATATATAAATAGGCAAAGACAAAACAGTTTAGTGCATTTTTAATCTGTGTTTGTCAACCGATTTTCTTTTTTTTTATGCTTTTAAATCATTAAAAAAATTGGGAATATTTTTTTTTATAGATACTAGCGGACCCGACAGACGTTGTCCTGTCTACACGTCTTTAATTTGAAAATTTCAAACTTTATTTAATAATTTTTTGATGAAAATTATTATTCAAATTGTGAATCTAAACCATTCCCAGATCCCCTTGAACACACACAAAAAATTTCATCAAAATCGGTCCAGTCGTTTGAGAGAAGTTCAGTGACATACACACTCACAGAAGAATTGTATATATAAAGATGGAGGTACATTCTATTTATATATGTTATAGCAAAATTTTTAATAACGATTATGGTCGAATTTAACCAATGGGCAAGTATATTTAATATGTTGTAAGTATTTTATGTGACAGAAATTACGAAGACTTAGGTTCTTCATGGTATGAATATTTTATAATGTGACTTAATGTAGGCCATAAAACTTGTATTGTTTATTATAAAATACTAGATTTTGCCTGCGAAAATATTAAATACGAACAATAATAGGTAAAGTGTAGATTTCTAATTATGTAAAAAAATTTGAATCCGAATCGATAAACTTTATTTGATTTTGTATTGTATAATGTTAAAATTTTATAATAATACTAGCTACTCACCCTCGCTTTGCCTGAGTTCGTCCCTAGTGAAAAGCAAAAACAAATGTATCCCACGGGAACCGTACATTTTTCCGGGATAAAAAATAACGTATGTACTATTCCAGACTATAATCTATATCTGTGCCATATTTAATCTAGATCCACTCAGCCGTTCTGGCGTGATTGAGTAACAAATATTCTATCCAAACTTTCTCATTTATAATAAAATAATGGTATATTAATGGGATATAATATAATATATCCCATTAATATTATCCCATCAATACCATTAATATTATATTTATTGTAAATTTTATTGTATTTTCTGTAATTCATTATTGTGTTTTAATAACATCATAGTATTTATAAATGTATGACATAATATTTAATGTAGAAACATATTGTATTAACAAGATAGTGTTATTCTGAAGTGTTTTGTTTTTATAACCATCGTAGTAATTACCTACATAATTACATCTAATATAATCTATATATATATATATATATATATATATATATATATATATATATAATAACCAAGCCGAATCTGTACATTAAATATTTTTTGGAAAATCGTATTGAAATAGACATATTATTATCGATACAGAGGCCGAATCTATAGTTCTTAGAATTTTTGCCTGTCTGTCTGTCTGTTACCGCATCACAGAAAAACTACTGGAGAGATCTTGCTGAAATTTGGTATGGTGATAGCTGGCTATCCAGGTCAATATATAGGATACTTTTCACCGCGGGAAAATATCTCATTTCTGAGAAAAAATACAAAAACTGCATCGTAAGAGTATACTAATATGTAAAACCTAAGAATTTGCTTTTTGGTCACCTCAACGCGGGCAGAGCCACGGGGAATGCTAGTAGAAATATAAAGTTATTCTTTAAGAATATTACGTATATAATTTCATTTTATATAATATCAAGGGCTGTTAATAATTTAATGAAATCCCACAGCTATCTAAATGTATAATAATATCTAATTTATGGTTTGAAAATACATACTCTTCAATTTTATTTCGCTATAGTGTCTTATTTATGAATATATTAATAAGAATAGCTTTAATTTTGCTATCGATGATAAATGTTTAGTATTATAAACTTAAAATATTTTTATTAATTTTTAAACTATTTATATGTAAGGATTATAATTTAACATAAAAATTCTTTTAAAAATAGTATAGATTAGAATCTATCCAATTAATTGATATTTAAACACATATTTACTCAGCCTTGGATATGTTTGTAACAATAATGGCGGGGTTCTTTGAACCTTCAGATCTATTTTTTCATACACGTTTTTCTAATTTAAACTTATCCATTTTTGTTTCAGTGGGATGAACATGAATATAAACAACAATAACAGCACGAGCATCAACAACAACAACAATGATGAAAAGGTGGAAATGCCGGACCCTGATTACATAAAAGTAAGTTAAATAGATCACTCTAAATATGATGAAACTTGGCCCGACCCGGGACTCGAACCCAGGACCTCCGAGTGTGCAGCCGTACATGCTAGCCACTACACCACCGAGGCAGTTAAATATATATATATATACAATTTTACAATAATGTATGGAGATCTGCGCAATATTTTGACATTTATGATGACTGCTTGGCTTCTTTGGGTGGTAGCATTGTGATATATAGCCTTCCTCAATAAACGGGCTATCTAATGCAAAAAGACTATTTCAAATCGGATTAGTAGTTCCTGAGATAAGCGCGTTCAAACAAATTCTGCCTCTTTATGATATTAGTATAGATAAAAGAAGATGAGATTTTGTGAACATAATTGCGAACGAAGTCGCGTGCCACAAATAATTTACAAATGCTTATTACGCATATTTCAACCAGTAATATTTATGAAATTAAAAGCAACAATCGAGCAAAATATTTGTCAACAATATTCGCGTATAGCAATGTTTTTCAAAGTATGTTTACAAAGCAATAAGGTCGCCACCACACAGTCTAGTCACGAAACCCCTTTAAATAATTAGTATCCCATATCACTCCTCGAACGAAAATCTTACTCGACACAAAAATAACTTCGATTTGTTCTTACCTTAGCATAGGGACGAACTAACACATAAATTTTATTTCACAATATCGTGTTAATAAGCATTAATGATATAACACATATATTATAATGAAATGATTTAGTCAAACCATATCGATCCTTAAAATCTTTGAAATCGACCATTGACCATTTAAGTTAATTATTTTCATATTATTCTTATCATTTTACTTTGCAATGAACTCATAGTAGAGTTTAGAATAACCGGTCATGTGCGAGTCGGAATCGCACACGAAGGGTTCCGTACCATCGTACAAGATATAACACTAAATATTTTATAAAAGAAATGAGAGAGGCGCTACGAGTATAACAACTTAATATGAGCTTAATCGGATATTGTTTTTTCCAATTTGTATGGCGGCCATTTTGAAATTCGTTCTTTTGAAATTTTGAAAATAGAAATACACGCTCTGTGAAACATACTCTCTACCTATTACGGTTCATGAGATATAGCCCGCTGACGGACAGATGGACGGTTCCGTTGGCACCCTTCGGCTGCGGAACTCTAAAAATAACGCTGAAACTTTTTAAATAAAACTATATTTTCGGATTTTGTCGCGGATTTATTTGGATTTTTGTTTCCCGACGTTTCGAATGCTTTACAGCATCCATGGTCACGGGAGAGTCAGTCTCTATATCCAAATAAATCCGCGACAAAATCCGAAAAGATAGTTTTATTTAAAATGTCAAATATTCGCGTAAATCTAAGAAAGTATTATAACGCTGAAACTACTAAAGCTCAGATTTTCCTTTAAAATAATAGTATACCACATTTAGTACAAAATACCTTAAGTAAAGATAAGAACACCAGCCTACCCTCTGATGTGATTTAAGCATCCCCTAATCTGTACAGAACAAATGTGTGCTGAAGTACTTGCGAGATCGAAAGCCCATACATTAGCAACAGGTTTAGTTACTGCTCTTTCTGGAAACAGCCATTACGAATTCTATTGGTGATTTGAAATTTCTCCACTTTAAACACTGTTAGTTACGTTGTTGGACAAACTTTGTTTCGACGTGGTATTTGTTGGCTTTTAAAAGTTATGTTGGGTACTGTAAAATTTCACTCACTTAACTTCTAATATTCTGTCTGTATGTACAAATGAATAACTCGCTTCACTATAATGCGACACTAGGTGCTTTTTGCGATTTGTTTGTGAGGGATAAACAAAAATTCGCTGAACCGATTTAGATGAAATTTGGTATTAAGATAGTTTAAGATTTAAGAGTTTTTATCAATCATTTCTCAAGTAAGGGATATAAAACTCATCAAATCTACGTATATACACTATATTATATAGTCTATATATTCTATACTAACTCTTAAAACGTACCTAAGAATGAGCGAAGCGAGTGTTAGTCGCTAGTATGTTATCTATACATATAATAAAATTGTAGTTAAGCCGAATCTGAACATTAAATATTTTTTGGAAAATCTTATTAAAATAGACAAGAGGCCGAACCAACAGTTTTTAAAATTATTGTCTGTCTTTCTGTCTGTCTGTCTGTTACGGCATCACGGAAAAACCACTGGAGAGTTTTTCATGAAATTTGGTATGGTGATAGCTGGTTATCCGGGTCAACATATATGATACTTTTTACCGCGGGAAAATATGTCATTTCTGAGAAAAAATACAAAAACTGCAATGTAAGAGTATATACTAATATGTAAAACCTAAGAATTTGGTTTTTGGTCCGTTGGAACCGCGGCCAATGCTAGTATAACTGATATTAATCCATCTTTTTAGATACATTTTAAATAGCTATAGAAAAAGAGTTAATTTACAGATTTGTTTAATACATTTATAGTCGTTGCAGCAATATAGAATTATTATTCTATTCCGTTTTATTTCAAATAGAAATGAAATTCTTGTATATAAAAAGTTAGTTAAAAATAAAAAATATGTACATATTTGTGCCTTCACATTTTTTCTTGTATTAATGTCCTTTTAATTGGTAACTAATTTAATCGGAGTCTATTATTATAATTGTATGGTAATATATTTAAATGGTAAAGCTTAAGCTTCTTGTACTATACTATGTTAAAGTCATGAGCCAACTTTTAGTGGTTACAACGTAAATACGGCAGAGGCAGCACAGGATGTACATAATTTTCTAATTTTGGAATGTTGCTACCTAAAATTTATAGGAAACAGCTGTCAACTTGATTGGCCCTTCAGACGAGTAGATATTCTATAATCGGCATCACTAATGAGAGAAAAATAATTAATATTTACATAATACTAGCAACTTATTCTAACTTTGCTCTGGTGCTTCCCTAGGTTCTTAGCAGTGGTTTAGTTTTGGTCCAAGGTGGTTTTTATCCAATTCCATTAAGCCGTTACAGCGTGAAGAAATAACAAACATACACACTCACATGTACAAACAAAGTTTCGCATATATGATAGTAGTGTTATTTTATCATTTCTACTCTTATGTACATTCAATAAAAATACACATGTGTATATGGTGTTAGTCATACAATCTGCTAAAAGCGAAACCTAGAGTAAATTCATAGTTAAACAATATTTTTAATGAAAAAAATATAGAAAAACAATAGCGATACCTTAACGGCTCAACACAAATAGGTTTAAATCCGCACTACGTGAAATAAATCTGTTACACCGTATATTGAAGCCGCGTAGCAACCTTAAAGCTCTAAGCATTAGCGACACGGTGCGGCGTAGCTTGAGAAATGTTAGGCATGAACGAGCGGAATAGCTTTCACACGAACGCGTAACGTTACACTTTTGGTGATACTACATAGTTGTACTCCATTGACTATGTCATTAGTGTACTATGAAAGTAGTGTGTTTGTTTGTGTATCTGTGGGTTAAGGATAATCTATAAAAGTAGCAGACCGATTTACTAAAATCTAATTTTTTTTTATATAAATAAAAATGTATATTTGTATGTTTGTTCTCTATGCATTTCTTAACTAATAATTCGATTGTGATGAAACTCTGGTGGATTATTCAATGTGTGCTTTCAAAAATTCTTGGCTAAAAAATTTTTTTTTTTCTTTGGACTTTTGTCTTTTATGTGATCCTAAAGAAAAAAAATATATAAAAGCTTCAGTGTTTGTATAATAAGACTTTAGCAAGATAATTTTCAAAATTAAATATTTGAATGGTTTGATCTTAATAACTTTACAACAAACAAAACTTCAACCAAGTCAGATAGTTTTCTTCCAAGTAAATTGATTGATTATTGATCTTTTAATCGTCAAACAAATTTTTTATAGAATTAAATATAATAAAGTATGTGTATATTAATTAAAATTTAATTCAAATTTTAGTAAGATAATGAGTTAATATTTAACTTATTAGATTTCATACTAAACATCTCGTAATTGAAAAATAAGCCCTAGAAAATGCATCTACGTCCTCTCGATACTATACGTTAGGTATATAATAGTGCTTTTGATCCCATTTCTGTCATCGGCGTGATAAAAAATCGGTATCACTGATGCGAATGTTTATTTTGGGCGAGTAGTGTAGTGTAACGCAGATGTAATCACGATAGGAGCGCGTGCAACGTGTTCCACCACGACCCACTTTCACGTCGATAACGCAATTTTCACGTTACTGAAACTTATCAGTTATATTAAATATCCAAATATTAATGTATTTTATTTCTCTAGGTGTACATTTTTTTGTAGATTGCATTTGCGTAAAGATTTCTTACGTATTTTCAATATTAGAAGATTTTCGTCGCAGAAGCGCAGTATAATGTTAGACTAAAACACAATTTTAATAAAGACTCATAAATCGATTCCATTATAATGGTCTTAATGTTTTTATTTCGCATTAAATTATATTAAGCCGTGAAACAGTTCAATAATAATTTTATTAATTTAATATTATTTAACCTCTTATAGAGAAATAAAATAATATGTTATTCGAAATTCTTTACGATTTTTGATTCAGTAATACCCTATGTAAGTAATCTTTATGGAATAGCCGAAATTCTGGATAGAATAGGGTAAAATATTTTTTTTGTTTGTTACTCTGTTTAGAATGACGTTACCATAACATATACCATAAATTACCTGTGATGATTAAAAACAAGTCTCGATTATAAAACTTATATTATACTTGCTAATGGGTTTTTTTATGTAAAAAAAAATATTTTAGTCAGTTACGAAAATTGATGTGCAAAAAATATTTCTTTTCATCTATAACTATTGCTATGGGTCTTCTCAAAAGTATCTTATCGAGCTTGTTGCTGAAATTTTTCTTTCACTAAAACAAATCACAAGTGTTGTTGAAATGTTAAATAACAAAAAATGTCGACTCTTAAACAAAATCACTTACATTTTTAACAAGTCTGTACCAAAGCGTTCGTTTGAAATTTATGTTAGGTACATATGGATTTTCGGTTCGACAGATTAAAGCTTGAGCGCGTTCAAAAGAAATTACTGGTAATCAATTTGCGATTTTCATCAGAGGGATAAGTTTTCACGTTACAGCCTTTGTGATGTGAGTTAAAACCAATCACGCTTCGAAACGTCAGTACAGTGAGCGGTATTTAAATTTTAATATTAAAACAAAATGTCTGTCAATGTATACTTTTTTTTATTTTGATAATTTAATCTAGATTATCAGTAAAAATGTGGACGCAGATTTTGTCATAATGAAAAAAATAAAAAAATACTTTAAATTAAAAAAAAAATGATAAATGATTGTAGACTCCATAATAACGTTCTTTATAATATATGAGGAATAATTTAATATTGCATAATACATAATATATATTTTTTGGTACTTTGGTGCAATATTTGAATTCTTAAAATCGTTTGGTAAGATAGGTAGGCACTGTCTGTAACAAGTACCTTTGAGTGTCTAAAAGTTAGCTTCCCCCGTGACCATGATTGCTGTAAAGCATTCGAAACGTCGGGAACCAAAAATCAAAATAGATCCGCGAAAAAATCCGAAAAGATAGTTTTATTTAAAATAAATTTATGGCCTTCAAATTATTATATTATTTATCTATATCGTTCTGCAAAAAATATATTTCAATTCATATAAATTTTAACACCCAGCGCGAAATTCAAACCTTAATATGTGGTATACCGTACTTAAAGCTCGCGCAACGCAATCGGGCGAAACCTTTTTAATTACGCCAATATATCACTTGATTTTCGAATTTGCAACTTTGCATCCACTTCGTTGGGAGGCGAATCGGATTTCTGTGGAAGTTTGTTACAATGTTGACACTTTTCATTTAACTATATAAGTAATGTCGTTTAAAAAATAATTTTGTTGATTTTAAAGTAGATTTCTGTGGTATTTTTACGGAAAAACTTTAGATTTATAATTTAAGGTCTTAGTCAAAAAAACAACTTCTCTATTGTGTCTTTTTGTTATGTCAAATTAAGAGATTTTTACTAAATGCATGTGAAAGTATATACGGTACTTATAAGAAAAAAAATATCTGTTTACGTACCGTATCCGACGAAACAGCTGGACCGATTTTGACGGGACTTTCACTAGCAGATAGCTGATGTTATAAGGAAAAAATTAGGCTACTTTTATTTTAGATAAAAAATTACGGTTCCGTGTAAAAAAAAACCCACAGAATTGGGAACAAAATCCGCGCATACCTAAGTAGGTAGTAGTTATAAATGATAAATGTTGTTCAATGAAGTTTTCTTTAACATCGTACCAATCTCTTGCGGTTGTTATGTTACAGATGTTCGTCGGTCAGGTGCCAAGAAGTATGGACGAGAATGACCTCAGGCAAATGTTCGAGGAGTTCGGGAGAGTCCATCAGATTAACGTACTGCGGGACAAGATCACCGGCGCGAGTAAAGGTACGTTATTTTAATGCTTTAGCTACGAATTAAGGATAAGAAATATACAGGTTGTGTGCTTATATCGTATTATAAATCTTTTGTTGGTTTGGTTATATTATAATTGAATGTATTGATTATATATTTATAAATGTATTTTTGGGGGACAATATTATTATTTCGGTTAAATCTTTTATGGTTTTTTTACGATACATGTTGTTTATGGGTGGAACAGATTTTTTTTGTGATGTATTTATCATTTCATTTTCATAATTAGGATAAAAATGTATTTACTGATTTCAATTAGGTATTATATTGTAATTATAATATGATTAACTTAAAATTAAAAGTTCAAATCTTTAATTCAGTTCGAAGTAATAGCTTGAGCTCTTCTATCTATGAAGCAATAGAAGCATGTGAGTTATATATATGAATATGGTAACTACATAAATAATTTCATAAAATACATTAAAATCTATACTAATATTATGAAGAGGCAAAATTTGTTTGTTTGAGCGCTCTAATCTCAGAAGCTACTGATCCGATTAGAAAAAATCTTTTTGCATTAAATAGCCCGTCTATCTATACTAACCATAAAATGTAGGTACTAAGAGACGAACCCGAACGGAGACGGGTGAGTCGCTAGTGTATATATATCATTAGAATTACCATTTACCTACTAGAGTGGATGCCAAAGCCAGGTAGAAACTAAATGAAATTTCCACTTATGATTGTTCAAACGCATGTATCTATGCTTACGTCTACCAGATGAATTACAAAGAGATACTCGTACGTAATTATTAAAGTGTTTTCAATAACGAATGATCCAAGCTTCTGATACTGATTGCTTTGAGCTTTCAAAGGTTTATATTGGCATATTATCTATTAGAGTACTTTTATAATAAAAAAAATGTATAATAGTCACTCTTTGTTTTTTTTATAATAAATACAAAAATACAAAAATAATTCGATTCAATTTTTTTTCTTGATAATTTTTTTTCTTGGCTTCGAAGCGTGCCATTTGAGCATAGGTAACTTCGCCAATATCACATAGAATGGACAAGACCCGAAGGAGTTTGGTCCGTAAAACGAAAATAATGCCGTCGTTCCGATTCCGTATTTTACCGTAGTTCATCGACATTTATTCCATATACAAAAATTTGTATTGCTATATAAAATATATAGCTGATGTACCTATTTTAATATAATTCATTAATAATAATAATTATAAACAACATTATTGCCATAATAATAAAATAATGACTATGCTAACATAATTATTCATAATTATTATTCTTATATTCGGAATTCTATTATTCGCTAATTGTAAACCAACTTATATTATTATTATTTTTAATATTCAGATTTCAGGATGGTTCCATATAAATGTTACAAACAAGATTCCATAAAAGAAGGAATAAGCATTAAAAGTGATTTTAAGTTTGTGTGCGTTTTTACATTAAAAAAAAAATATTTACCGGATTTATTTTGATTTTTGGTTCCCGATGTTTTGAATAAATCCGCAAAAAAATCCGAAAAGATAGTTTTATTTAAAGATGAAATGTTTCATTACAACAGCTATAATTGCTTTTATCGTTCTACAATGCTGTAATATAATTTATGTATGCTCCAATATAAAACAATATTCTGATGTGGCCGAATTATATTTAATTAATAGGGAGGTAACTTTGATAAACAAAGATAAAAAAAACACTGCTAAGAGGAAGAAAAGTTTCTATGGAAAAATCGTACTATTTAAACAAAAAGTTGATATACCTACTTTAATATTTCTTTGTATTAATTGTGATAAGTTTTTTTTATTCTGTGATAACATAATAAGAAATATTTAAACAGTCTATTAAATTAAAAACATAACTTTTTTTCTTAATAAATTATAAAAAGAAAACCATTTAATGAGTACAAGATAAAAATGATATGCAAAATGTACACTTACCTATACAGGATGGAACAAATAGATGGGACATGGCAGAAAAGTATCTTAAATATTGAATATATAAAGTTTTCTTTCTTCGTTCTCAAAGGAATGGTTATCTTATGTAAAAATAATAATAACTGATTTTTTTTTAAGAAAAGCTTACCTAAACCGGTAATCGAACCAACTGAAAATATAGTAAAATATACCTTCAGTATTTTATTGAACTGAACAAAAGAGTCTATGGTAAGGATAAAATCACTCTAACAAACATTGTATCTTACAATTAAAGCAAACTATGAAATCTTACAATTTATTATATTTCGACTCTAACTTACGTCGTGTAACAAACGTACGGGATATGGAAGAAAAGTATTTTATATACTGAAAATATCAAGCTTCATCATTCTTATCCATTTGTTCCATGTTTCATAAAAATAACAAATATTATTTTTGACTACACGTTTGGCTCCGTTTACAGTGGCTCAACTTGTTGTACCAGCGGTCTCAGGTTCGAGTCCTGCTGGGGGCATTCATTTGTGTGTTGAGCACGAATGTTTGTACTCCAGTCATGGGTGTTTATATTTATAATATGTATGAATTTAAAGTTATGTATGTTTAGTGTATCAACTATCTTTTTTTTAGTGTCGGGAGGGAAATGCATTTACGCATACCACCTGATCCCCCAGGTGTTGATGTGGGGCTCACCGGCTAGAAGAGCCGGTACTACCCACTAAAACCTGACATTCCCCTCCCCTCCGCCTTAATGGGACGCCGCAGGATCGCTTGCGCATAACTACTACGGCGCCCTGGCGGCAGGTCTGCCTTTAAATTAGGCAGACCACCAAACCAATGGGGCTGCTCCACAGTCCATTCCGCTACGGCAGAGAAGCACCTGGAGCAGCCACATTAAACCTCACCGCCCACCGAAGTGGGCCACATTCATCCGGCTGCAGAGGACAGGGAGAGCGGCAACGAAACACCGACACTCCTCTTCCCCTGCAGCCCCACCACGTCCGCCATCAAACGGTGGCGGCCCCGTCTAGGCCGCGGAAGGTAGGGAAAACGGCGCACCGAAATACCGGCACTCTCCCGCCGCGGCTTACCCCTCCGCCGGATGCGGGCCTGCTACCACAGTCCCGCAACCGGTACCTATCATCCAGTTGTGACACCAAGCGGTCCCACCACCGGTGGCCACAACGTCTTCAGCCGAACCTTTCGGCTCGAGGCCTAGACGAGCGGCCCCAGCAAGCAATTTGGTCCGCGCCGGATTTCATATTTCATAAAAATATAATATATTTAATGATTTATATAAAATTACAAGAAAATGTTTTTAAAGTTATAAAACGGAACAGCTTTCGAGTCATTGTTTCGAACAAAGCGCACCAAGTCACTATGTTGACATTTTTGTTGTTACACGTTTGTATGAGAGAATATTTTCTTTTGTAAGAATGCATGCAAATACGCGACGCCGCCGGTTACTATTCTAATATGTAAGAGAAATTTTATTTTTTAAAATAACATCTTTAGTTACAACTTTTTTCATACAATGGGTGTATGATTTCTTAAAAACATACATTTTACAGTTATTTAGTTTGTAGTTTTTCAGTTTATTTACGACAGAATTAATAGTAGGGGAGCCCAAGAGGGGATTTTTGTAGTTACTCAAGCGCGGCAGATTAACATAAAAGAGGTTACCTTGCACTCTATTGAGTATTTTCACCATAATATAAGTCTTCTATATAAAGGGGCGCGTCTAGGGAAGCCGATTAAAATATTTAAAAAATGAAAAACTACAGAAAATCCCCTCTTGGGGCCTTGGGCTCCCCTACTATAACTTAAATAATGATCTGGGCATTTGACAGCATATTCCTTTAGATAATGAATAACCATTACGAAAATTAAACAGGACGATAAATGAGAACAGGTTGTATAAACTTTTGTGTCTCATATAAATTATGTTATTTAATTAAAGAATAGTTCACTAGTTTTATATATAACTAGCGACTCACTCTCACTCCGCTCGGGTTCGTCCTGCCTGTTAGATATGTACCTTTGATTTCTCAGCGATGAAATATTTACCCGCAGTGAAAAGTATCCAATATGTTGATCCGGATGACCAGCTATCATCATAACAAATTTCATCAAAATCTGTCCAGTGGTTTTCTCGTGATGCCTTCTTAGTCAGACAGACACACATAAGAAATTTCTAAAAACTATAGATTCGGCCTCTGTATCCATAATAATGACTATTTCAATATGATTTTCAAAAAAAAATTAATTTGCAGATTGGACTCAGTTGGAATTTTATTATATGTATAGATATTAAAAAATTATATCCTTTATATAAAAATGAATATATTTATCATATCATTACTATTATTAAAAAACTATTTCTAATTTAATGGATATTCGAATTTCATTAACTCAACAAAATTTGAGTGAGTCTTTAATATAATAGGTGAATTATCATAAAGCAGATGTCCTCATGAAGTTCTCGCACCCATACCGGCCTATCTAAATAGGTATACGCAAGCGGGAATCCAATACGTCATGTAAAATATGATACCTTTGCTTTTACAAACTCTTAATATATTTCATTCGTATATCTATCTGTTTATCATCTGTTTAGAAAAACAGGTTTTAACTAAATTGTGATAATATGCGGTACCATTGTATGGAGTGGTCCTTACTAGTGATGGAGCTGGAAGGTGACAATAATCCCTCAACAACAAAACAAATTATAAAGAAAAAGCTTGTTTTTTTGTTGTTATATTTATTATTATGTATTTTCTTATGTAATTAATGTTTTGTTGTATGTCCCGGTAGATTCCCTGTGTGTAGTGTTGTGTGGTGTCACTTTATGTACGCGAGCTTTTGTTACAGGGTGCTGTTTTGTGACGTTTTTCACGCGGAAAGCTGCGTTGAAAGCTCAGGACGCTTTGCACAATATCAAAACCTTGAGCGGGGTAAGTGCGTTTGTTTTCCCCACTACTATTCATGTTACGCTAGTACATATACTACCGGCCTTATTAAATAATGACGTTATATCGATTTTTAAAATGTTTAAAAGCTTTTAAATGTGTTTTTTATTATTAAGTTTATATACAATCTCAGAAGAAAATGAGTTTGACCTAAATCGATCATTCTTTAATAAGGTCATATTATGTGTATAAATTAAATGTTCATTGTTAGATGTGATTTAGTGTTAAATGTATGGTTTTTTCTTTTAGGTTTTTCTTTTATATTTTACTCAGTACATACTGGATTATTTTCGTATATTTTAAAAGAAGAAATTAAATAGGGTCTGAAATGAGAATGGAATGAGGGGAATGTGGCCATATTCCACCACGCTGGCCAAGTGCGGGTTGGCAGACTTCACATGTCTTTCGAAAACTTGCTAGGTTCTCTCAGACATGCAAGTTTCCTCACGATGTTTTTTCTTTACCGTTAAGACAAGTGGTAATCATGTTGGAAATGATTCGCACATGAAAATATCAGACGTGGGAGACCCGGGATTTGAACTCGCTTCACCCGGTTTTCCAAGCGAGCGCGTTACCACTGGGCTACCGCTGCCTTATCCACCACTATACCACATAGATAAACATATAGATATATAGACATATATTTGACTGACTACAAAAAAGGAGTAGGTGTCCAATATGGATTTTTGTGTATGTATTGTTTGTGTATAGGTTACCTCTTCACCATTAATGAATCGATTTACATCACACTTTTTCCTTAAATACTTACCTTACTAAAGACCCATACAATGGAGAAGTTTCATGATGTTGATAATATCATATTTTATGCAATTAAATTATAATATAGTTCAAAACTAATAAATCAGTAAAAAATTTTTTTGAAATCTATACTAATATTATAAAGAGGTAAAGTTTGTGAGTTTGTGACGTTGTAGAGGGTAATCTCTGGATCTGCTGAACTGATTTAGATGAAATTTGGTAAGAAGATAGTTTGAGACCCTGGGAACGACATAGGATACTTTTTATTCCGGAAATCATCCCTTAAGGGAGTGAAGATGGGGATGAAAGTTTGTATTGGGAAGCAAGCTAGGAAGTTAAACGAGGGTGAGTCACTAGTCTATCAATAAATAACTGAGAAATTAATTTAAATTTAGGCCTTTCAGGTCGTGCGACGTCAAGAAATTATTCTTGCAAACGCAAATTTAAAGGTTCATAACTTTTTTATTTGTTGAAATATTTTAATAATTCATTTCATATTTTTGTTACATTTTACTTATTTTTTTATAATTAAAACAAAAAAAAGGTAAACTTCTTCATTACATAATATTATGTATATAATATTTTTTTTATTTATTAAATTCCCAAGTGGCACTTACAATATCATTATATACAACTAGCGACCCACCATCGCTTCTATCGGGTTCGTCCCTGGGTACGTTTTAACGGTTAGTATGAATATAATATGCATGTATTCTACATATAAACCTTCCTCTTAAATTACTGAAAACTGCATTAAAATCCGTTGCTTAGTTTAAAAGATCTAAGCGTACATACAGCGAGAGCGACTTTGTTTTATACTATGTATAGACAAGTCTCATAGCTAAAACCATTACATTTTAAATTGAAAACCATGAATACTATCAAACAAAGGAATTTTCACAAGCTAATTACATAAAGTTAAGTAATATATTATACAAATTCTTAATAATTAAATTAGTTACAAAGTCATAGTATCTTGTAATTATAATATGTTAAATTTAAACGATAGTACGATTTATCAGAAAATACCGTAGAACAAAATTTAAATTTTAGCCTTACAATTTGACGCGCCCGATAAACTTCAAAGTTATAAAATTTTATTATTCAATACGCTTAAAATATTTACAGTCCATGATCAGGAGAATTGTTTGGCGTGAGGAAAATTACCAAAAAGAGGCCGTATTTTTATTATCTCTAAAATTTTTACTTCAAAAACAACCAACTCGACTAAAACGACGAAATTGATTGATGCGTAGTTTTTGTTCTTAATCATCTTTTCTTCAAACTGTAAAGAAATTTAAGATCGTTTTATTTTTATCAGTAAATTATTTAATAGAATGAGAAATAATAAATAATTTATTTGTAAGTTATTAGTATTACTAAAAATGTTGTTTTTTTTTCTCGAATATTAAGATTTACTTGCGAGAATCGAATTTATGATCTCTCACGCAGTGTACACTACCCAGTGTATGTCAAGTATTAATATTGTGCCAAACAAAACTATTCTATACAGCAATCATCAAAAAATAATTAAAATATGATTAGTTATACTAAACACATATGGTATATCTTTGATGACACGTTTGGTTCAGTTTGTAGCGGTCGCGGGTTCGAGTCCCGCTGTGCATTTATTTGTGTGATGAGCACGAATTTTTGTACTCCAGTTATGGGTGTTTATATTTAGGTATAATATGTATGTATGTACTTAAAGTTATACATGTGTAGTGTATCAACTATCTAGTATTCATAAAACAAGCCTCGTAGCTTACCATGGAACTAGGTGGTGTTGTGTGTTAATATCCCAACATATTAATTTATTTTATTTATAATCATAATCTATATACCAATAAATTAATTACAAAAAAAAATTCCTATCACAAAATCCAAACGCATTTCTTGGCCGTGTTTATGTTTACGAAACCTGTTGCCGTTGAAACATAACAATTTTCATTATTGGGCTCTCGGATAGCAAACATCCCTTTCTGCCGCTCATCGATTGTTATCAAACACAATCGAATTACCGATGCTTTTATTCCTGATCTCGCTTCCCTCCATCGAGATAATTCAATTCGTTTACATTACCGGCGTTTCTCTCTCGATTGATTTCTCTCCCGATTCTTCTTAGACCGACCGCCAGGTAACTTGTTACAGTATTGAGTATAAATATTTGCTGATTGGTAGATGGGAGTCCGCCTTTCTATATGTACTTTTATATCGTATCGTGTTGTTAATTACTGCGTCCCGGTTCTTTGATATGGGGATTTCCAATTAAGATTCTTGGCTTGTAATCATGGGGGAGTTTGTGTTTATGTTTACAGTTGTATACATATGTACATAGATATATACATACATGTATATAGTTATATACATACTTTATCTGTCTCGCCGGCTCTTCCAAGCAAAATTGCATTTCAAGCCGTTGGTAGCTTCCTTACGGTTTGACTACACTGACGCTGTTTAAATTTAATTGAAAATTAAAAAATGCTTGTATAAGTCTAATTGAATAAAGCTTAATTTCATTTCATATGTATATATTATTATTTATGCAAATGCTTCGTTGGTCTATCATGTACGGTGGTAGATATTAAGGTCCTGGGTTTACATCCCGGTTCAGGTCAATATCGTTACCGATATAATATAGTTAGCGACAAACTACTAACACATTACACACGTACAAGATATGTTGTACTTAATTTTCTGGTTCGTTCCTTAAGTTTATAATACGTATGTACGTTACTTGGGTTCATTTTATATTTTTCAATTAATTACTGTTACTAATATTTAGTAAACAATTTTTGGCTGTGGTATATAATGATATGAAATAAAAGAAGATAACATCTAACGAAAATTGCTTCATTCGTAATATACTTGGACTAAGATAGACTTTCGTCAAGGTCAGAAAGACGACATGTCAATCGAGTAATTATATTTCAACATTATAATTAATTATTTTTCTAATATAATTTTTAATTTTCTGATTAAATTTTGCAGCGAAACTAGAACAAGTACTTTGTTTATTTTACGAACATAGCTTTGGGAATGGTATTATATGCTACTATATATAATACCATTTAAGTTTTCAATTTTTACCTACTGCGCGCTCTATCTTATTTCTTTTAAACTGAAATAATATTATAATATAACAGTTGAGAAAACATTGAGACAAATCTACAAGAAAATATGCTTAAAATTCGTTATCGTACGTACTCGGTCATATGCAACGATATATTCTTAGGTACATTTATAAGTTGCATCTGCGCCCGACACTGTCACTTACACATTGCATTACACCGGTAAGGACTGAATAGGAATGGAAAAGCTTTTATTTCAACCATTTTCTTTGAGCTATTAATCTCTTATATAAATTTTAAGTACATAATGTAAAACTGAAATTATAACTGGCAAAAAATATTTCTGTTAAAGTTGCTCGTTGTAAGTCACAGTTTTTAAAAACTTAAATTAGGTTGGACACAAATATTTCATAACATCCTAATATTCTAGTATTAGATATGATTGTTCCTCCCAATAACTCGATAAATCAAATGGCTGTCTGTAATTATGATATGAAAATTAATATATATTCATTGACGCTAATATGTTCGTGCATTTCTGGGTCGCTCAACACTATAATGACCGATCCACACTAAAGTGCGAATCACGGTTCGCTCTCGATCCAATATCGGTCTTGAAATTAATATTGTTATACAAGAAACACAGTTCCGGTTGAATTTCACTCCAACAATAAGGGATGATTTCCGGGATAAAAAGTATCCCATCAAATTATCTTTGTAGGTACCAAACATCTAATTCAGTTCAGTAGATCCAGAAATTACCCATGCAACCTCACAAATTTACAAATTTTACCTCTGTATAATATTAGTATAGATAATCGTACTTTATGGCAAATATCATACACTTAGTTTCACACAATATATTTTTAAACTACATTAGGTGACTTCAGTCAACGAACTTAATACGTAACCGTGACGTTGATCATATCTATATAGAAACTTTTATTTTTTTAACCCACCTGGCATCTAGAGTGTTGAACGTCGAAACTAACATACATAAGTCTCTAACAATGTTTGTTTTTGGAAATTGACTATACAAATCTATAAAGAAATTATGATGATTATATTAATTATTATCATTAGATTGATCTTTTTGCAAAAGGCACACCTGGGTATCCTTTGTTCTTTGAGCGAAAGCAGGACAAGCAATATTTATCTTAATATCCTCGACTAAATTCCGTAAAACTTAAAATACAATAACATGGTTTTTTTATGTAAAATATAGAATATAATAAAAGAAAATAAATATTGTTAATATTTGGTCAAAAACAATTGAAATCACTTTTAATCCTCAAAATAATAATTTAAGAAATGCTAAGTAAATAGGCAGTAGTAACAGGTAGTAGCGATTCATCTACAGTAATGTCTGTTCGTGTTTAAAATAATAATGGCAACACTGTGCTTTACAATTTTGCTTTTGATGATGCCAAAAATCAGATATAAAACAACGTAGACCGGCGCTTTGCCAAAAATTAATAGCTTTTTATTTTTGTTAGTTAAAAATGAAAAACCACTGATGAAATATAGTATAAAATACTAAAATATTATAATAGTGAAAGTAACTCTATTTGTTTGTTCTCTTTTCTATCTTAAACGTCTGAACGGATTATGATGGAATTTGGCAAGGACATAGATTGTGTTACAGGGACGGACCTAAGTTACTTTTGATTCCAAGACGACAGTGAGTCGTGGGCAAAAACTCGTGATATGTAAAAAAAGTTTTTAAATTTTATTTTTATCAACCTATTACGTTACGTTGTCCCATTGTGCAAAGGTTATGATTATTTTTACTTGACTTATTAATACCTCAACGACCGCGGACACGGCGGTGTTACTGTTGACAATAGATTTCTTAGAAATTTAATTAATTTCTTAGAAATTTACCTGGAGGTGTTAAGGACCAGCGACTACTTCATTCCCATTTTCATCCCCTCAAAGGATGATTTCTGGGATTAAAACTATCCTATGTCCTCCCCAGGCTCTAAAACGATCTTCTTACTATATTTCATTTAAATCAATTCCGTAGTTTCTGAGCCAAACGACAAATTCGGTACAAACAAACAAACAAAAAATCTTTCCTCTTTATTAATTAGTATAGATATTCATTTAGAACCACCCAGCGTAAAGTTTCCGTGGGAAAGGTTAAATATAATAAGAAATGGTAATTCACTTTCTCTGTGGCACTAATGAAAGAAAAAGTATAAAACAGAAAAACACTATGCCACATAATAATATTATCTCAAGAGATTGTTTGGTAAATTCCTAAGTAACATTTATGATAAAGACAATTTACAAGTTCTAAATTGATATTCAATTCATAGTAAAAAAATAACATGTCAGACTAAAAAAATAAGAAACACGAAGCATATATAAAATATTAATTGAACCCAAAACGCAACTGTCAATATTATCAAAAAAATATATGTTTAATCTTATATATTTAATACTTTTAAAAATATTTATATGTAACACTATTTAACGTTTACCAATGAATTATTACATTAAAAGCTGGCATGTATCTTTTCCTTAGAGGCTGGCATGGCTAGTTTCCACAAGATCTTTTCTCGCTCACGATATTTATTCAATTATATTAATATTCTAACTAACACTGCCCGCGGCTCCGCCCGCTTTCAGATGACCAAAAACCAAATTCTTAGGTTTTACAAACTAGTGTATTCATACATTGTAGTTTTTGTATTTTTTCTCAGAAATGAGATATTATTCCGCAATAAAAAGTATCATTTATGTTGACCCGGATAACCTGCTATCACCATACCAAATTTTATCAAAATCCCTTCAGTGGTTTTTCTGTGGTGCGGTAACAGACAGACAGACAGGCAAAAATTCTAAAAACTATAGATTCGGCCTCTGTATCGATAATAATGTTTATTTCAATAAGATTTTCCAAAAAAAATTTAATGTACAGATTTGGCTCAGTTACAATTTTATTATATGTATAGCTCGTACTCATATATCTATCAGTGGATTTCGACCTCGGTATGGTATTTTTTTACATAATATATAATATCTCACCAATGCACAAATACTGAATACAGATAATGTATATTTATGTGAAATATGCTATCGTAGTAATAATTATAATTATTAGATTTAAATATTAAATATAAATTAACCACTTAATTAATCAAGAAACACAAAAAATCCTTTAGAAGAATTTAAAGCAGAAAGCTTTGAAAAACTTAAATCTCATTTCGTATTCAGAGCGAAGCCTTATATGTTTAGAAACAAGGTTTGTGTTTATATTACTCGTGGTCTAACTCGTCTGGTCTGGCACAGATTTAATATTTAATAAACTTTTTATACATATCTACGTAATCCTCAAATATAGACAAGGTGTGGCTTAGCTACCTTCAAAATTCCTGCAGCAAGAATATACTCGTATAAAATTGTATATTGTTTAACCCTTTTTTTCAATTAGTGGAAATTTTTAACCATGCCACAGGTGAGCTTAATTTTTGTTTTAAACAAAACTTCGATGCTGAACAACGTGTGTGTTTTAGAAGATGAAGTTTTAAATTTAAATGTACATTTCTAAGCATTTTTGGGCGAAATTCGACACAAATTATAATACAGTTTTTTTATTAATAAGTATTATATACATACATATATACAACATTTTGTAAAGTTTTTATTTCTTATACTCTTTCTTTCTTTAGCTCATATTTTTTCTGATATAAATTAGCAACTTGTAATCAAATTCTAGTTATCGATGATTGTGTTTACAATATTCCACAGAAATTTCCAATTATAGAATGTAAATATAAAATAAAAATCAATTTGTTTATTTTTTCTCTTTTGATCTTTTAAATTAACTTGTTTAAGAAAAACATCAAATACAGGTATAAATATTGTTTATTATATTTATTTCGAATACTATTAGTCGTTAAAGTATGCCTATTTCTTTGTTTATACTTGCTTATTTTTGTAATAGCTAAACTAATGTCTAACGTTCATTCACTGGCAGATTGGAGGTTCTATAAACTGTGATATGCTAATTCTCATATCGGAAAATGACAGTATCCAGGATGAATGCTGGTACATAAAAATATAGATACATATATCTCTTCAAAAAATGGCGTCGACATGTGAATTGTGAAGTCAAACCAAATCTAATATATAAAAATTCGTGTCACGGTGTCTGTGGTCGCACTCCTCCGAAACGGCTCGATCGATTTTAATGGATTTCTTGTATATTTGGTAGGTATGAGAATAGGTCGTAAAGTATTTTTCACCCTCCTACCCCCACCCCCCATTATTTAATCGTGATTTTATTATTTTTGTATGAACATTATTATATAAGTACATAGCTGTATAATATGAAGCTAAAGAGCGTTTTTTGTATATTAAACGCGGGCGTAGCCGCGGGTTGTGCTAGTATTTGAATATAATTCAAAAATGGAAAGTTCTAAGTGTCTAAACGCAAATTATAACTTACGCACATCACATAAAGTACTTCTTTAAATGAAACAACATGCGTTTTAATTTTGTCATTCGAAAAGCAATGAAATTTTTTTTTTTTTTTTTATTTGGATAAGCACACTTACAACATACATACACAGCATTTGTAAATTAATTAATAACAATAATAATAGAACTTATATGTATGTCAATTACTAGTGGACATAAATTTGAAAAAATCGTATTATTTTAAATTATGTGCATCTTTTCAAGGACACTTTTGAGACGCTAATTGTATATCTCGAGTTTTTGTATACCAATGAGTATGAAAGAATTATTTAAATTATTTTGACGGAAATCTCCATTGAAATCGACTCAGTACGAGTAGAATATATGGATTGCATAGGCCATTTTTAATCATTGTAAAACGCGAACGGATCCACAAGTGAAAACTAGTATACAATAACATAGTTTCACATCATAAATGGTCCCTAAAATATTATAACATTATTTTTCAATTTAAAATCCCCTCTAAATCTTTTATAAAGCTTCATAATAAATCAAAATAACTGGATAGAAAATAGAAAAACTTCACCGGGTCGGTCACGAGTGAACTTTGATCGATAGACGGTTTATGATGCTCGGGTCTTAAGTAATTGACTTGGTATCGGTGTAACATTGAATTTATATGTATACTAGCAGAACCCTCGGCTACGCCCGGGCTCAATCTACAAAAAATATACTGTTTGGCTTTATGTTATACTATGTATTTATATGATATTGTTCATACAAAAATAATAAAATCGCGATAAAGAATGGGGGTGGGGGTAGGTGGGTAAAAGATACTTTACGACCTATTCTCATGCCTACCAAATATATAAATATATATATATACTAGCGGACCCGACAGACGTTGTCCTGTCTACACGTCTTTAATTTGAAAATTTCAAACTTTTTTTAATAATTTTTTTGATGAAAATTATTATTCAAATTGTGAATCTAAACCATTCCCAGATCCCCTTGAACACACACAAAAAATTTCATCAAAATCGGTCCAGTCGTTTGAGAGAAGTTCAGTGACATACACACTCACAGAAGAATTATATATATAAAGATATATTTAAATCGGTCTAGCCGTTTCGGAGGAGTGCGACCACAAACACCTTGACACGAGATTTTTATATATTAAACTATCTATGGCTTTGCACGTGTGTACGATTTATTTAACTTGCTTCCATTATCATTTTTTAGCTTGTTGTAAGAGCTTATTTAAACGAAGCATTTTGCTATTAAAATAAATATACTTAATAATTTTATTGTAATCGTGCAATTGAGTTATTTAAATAATTTTTATGAAAGATCGGATTTATATTATTCATATATTATAAAAACTGCACTTCTTTAAGATTTACGTTTCGTTTTTTAATACGGGAATAATGTAAATCACAAAAATAACACAAATAATGTAAATATTTTGCGCAAAATCGTCTTTAAATATGTACGGGGTGATGGTAAGGGTTGCTAGGAATATTAAATTTCTTTTGAAATTAATCAAACTTTCGATAACCAATATACTTTGATAGGTTGCTTCCCCATACAAACTTTCATCCCCATTTTCACCACCTTAAGGGATGATTTCCGGGATAAAAATTATCCCGTGTCCTTCCCATGGTCTAAAACTATCCTCTTACCAAACATCTAAATTGGTTTAGTAGTTTCGGAGCTTATTTAGTTTTACAAGCAAACAAAAAAATCTTTCCTCTTTATAATATTAGTATAGATATATAATCTAATTTTATTAGCTTACATATATCCGATTTCATTTGATAAGGTATGTAATAGAAAAATGTGCACTACCACAGCGGGCGGAAGCGGCCTTTGATCGATAACCTCGGTTATGATGCTCGTATCTTAAGTAATTGGCCGGCGCCATTAGTGGGGACGGTGTGAGCTTCCGTGGTGTATATTGTTAGGCAATTCTATAGAAGGAAGCTATTTATTATAAGTATATGTAATTTATTTGATGCCTCCAATTTTTATTTATTGTTAGTATATCGATACAACGTTTTCAATAGGTATGTATTTTTATAAAGAACTAGCATTGCCCGCGGCTCCGCCCGCGTTCAGATGACCAAAAACCAAATTCTTAGATTTTACATATTAGTATACTCTTACATTGCAGGTTCTCTATTTTTCTCAAAAATGACATGTTTTCTCGCGGTTAAAAGTATTCTATATGTTGACCCGGATAACCAGTTATCACAATACCAAATTTCATCAAAATCCCTCTAGTGGTTTTTCTGTAATGCGGTAACAGACAAACAAATAGACAGACAGACAAAAATTCTAAAAACTATAGATTCGGCCTCTGTATCAATGATAATGTTTATTTCAATAAGATTTTCCAAAAAATATTTAATGTACAGATTCGGCTTAGTTACAATTTTATTATAATACGTATAGATAAAATCGGATATTTTAAAAATATTTACTACGTATGAGCTTTTCCGTTAGTTTCTTTACCCGGACATAAGGTTTTGCTAGCACTTATCATTTTTGACCAAAGCTCAAATATATCATTGCCAGAACGTTGTCAGAATTTTAGAAAGAAATAAAAAAACTTAATCTTAAATTACTATACACTTATTTTTTACCGACTTTAAATATGATGAGGTACTCAATTTTATGCTATGATTCATATATATTTTCTGTAAATATAGTATAATAGAGGTCATACACATAGGTGTACATTGTTAGTTAAAAAAATATTTACTCTGAATGCAGAAAACTACGGATTAATTGTAGAAAGCTACACTTAAATAATATTATTGTTTCTTTATTATATTTATATACGTTATTACTTCGATGAGTTGCTTTAATTTTTTTTTCAATTCAGAATTCGCCATACTTTATTGAAATGTTGCATCGTTAAATATCCTTTGCCTTGACATGAATTTACTTCATAAAAACTGCTATAAATATGGAATCGGAAAAGTCGGTAAAAATTTACGACTATAGCTCCTTACCATGCGATTTTTAATCGAATATGAGCCAAATTATACCTCACTTCCTGGCCTTAAAGCCAATAAAGATAAGTTGCCTTAAAATAAACTTCCATTCACTGACTTTTACTTTGCGATGCACATTATAAAATCTAAATGGGAAAATATTAAAATATAATCTATTAAGTATGGTAAAAATAGTATTTTGAGTTATTGTAAACTAGCATTGCCCGCGGCTCCGCCCGCGTTCTGATGACCAAAAAGCAAATTCTTAGGTTTTACATATTAGTATAATGTATACTCTTATATTGCAGTTTTTGTATTTTTTCCCAAAAATGAGATTTTTTCCTGCGGTAAAAAGTATCCTATATTATTATGTGCAGAGTGCTTTATACATTATAAAATAATAATCTTCACTTTATGATATCATTTTATTGAAGCAAAACTCTTATAACTATTACAACTTTATTGTAATCAACCATCAAGGAAAAGGTGAGAACATATATGGACACAGAGTAATACAATAACGTAGACCACAGAGTAATATATAAACTTAAACCACAGACTATCACAACACCACCCCTCGATTTTATATCTATGAAATCGTTACTACATATTGACACATTTATTATAAAAATTAACAACTAAGACAACAATTATTATTTTTTTCAATAATAATATTTTTTTTTAAGATAACAATCAATTTTTTAATAATATTTTTTTTTTATAATCTTACACAATATTTAATGAATTTCTTATAAAAGTAATTCTTTCACATGACATTATTTTAGTAAACAAATCTGACAAATTATTCTCCGTAGAAACATAAGAAATATCCAAAATCTTTTTATCAACCAAATCTTTTATGAAATGCATCTTAATATCAATGTGTTTAGCTCGCTTAGAGTTTTCATAAGACTGAGTTAATTCAATAGCACCTCTATTGTCCATTAACAAAGTACACTTTATATCACTAACATTTTTCACACACTTAAAGTCCATATAAAGTCCTTTTATATATAATAAATCACAAGCACTTGTAGCTGCAGCAATATATTCGGCCTCTGCCGTTGATAAGGCAACACAATTTTGTTTTCGTGTCAACCAAGCAACCACATTGTTATTGTACAAAGTCACTGAACCGGTTACACTTTTTCGATCCACATTACAACCAGCCCAATCAGCATCTGAGTAGCAAATAATGGAATTTTCTTTACTCTTGTTAAACTGTAGTCCAATATTTATAGTATGTTTTAAATATCTGAGGACTCTCTTGGCTTGTGTCCATAATGTCTTTGTTGGTTTATCTAAAAATTGGCTTAAATATGATGTTGCAAATGCTATGTCCGGTCTTGTTGATGTTGATACAAACATTAAAGAACCAATCAATTCTCTAAAAGGAACATCTATAATTTCTTCATCTTTGTTATATTCGAAACCTTTTCCCATTGGTGTGTTAGCACCTTTACAGTCACTCATTTTAAATTTGTTTAACATTTTATTTATTTGTTTTCTTTGTGTTAATTTTAAATATTTTAAGTCTTTATTTCTTTCTATCTCCACCCCTAGAAATAAACTAGGTTCCCCAAAATCTTTAATTCCAAATTCTTTTTTTTAATTCAATTATTACATTTTCCACATATTTAGATTCTCCAGTTATTAAAATGTCATCTACAAATATAACTAGCCATACTTTTATATCTTTTCTTATGTACAAACAAAAATCATTTTGTGATCTTTTGAATCCTTTTTGCTTTATATACAAGTCAAATCTTTTATTCCAACACTTTGGACTCTCACGTAAACCATATAATCCTCTATTCAGTTTAAGCACTTTATTGTTATTTATATTAATTCCTTTCGGAGGTTTTATGTATACCTCAGATTCCAGTTTTCCATTCAAAAATGCTGTTGGAACATCTAATTGTTTAATTGTCCAGTCATTTTGAATTGCTTCTGCTAACACTGTTCTAACTGTAGATAATCTAGCAACTGGTGCATAATGCTTTCCAAAGTTATTTTCTTCTTTTAATTGATAGCCTCTTGCGACTAATCTTGCTTTTTTTGTACCATTATCTTTAATTTTAAATATCCAACGAGTATCAATTATCTGTTTATCTTTTGGTATGTTTGTCTCAGTCCAGGTGTTCATTTTCTCTAATGATTTAATTTCTGTTTGTATTGCTTCATCCCATCCATTTTCAATTGCTTCTTCATATGTTTTAGGTTCGTCTTCTTCACTTACAAAACAGTATGCTTCATATAGCTCATAATCATTTAATTTGGTTGGTTTCTTTATATTTCTACCACTTTTTGTAGTTAGCTCTTCACTTCTATCATTTGTGTCTTGATTTTCATTAGTCTTTACTATTTCTTTTTGCTTCTGTTTATTTATATTTTCCTCTATAGTATCTTCTTCATCTTGGTATAGACTTTTATAAAAATAGTTAGTTTTATCTTCATTTTCACTATATCTTGTATCACTTTCATCGAATCTTACATCTCTCGAGGTGAATACTCTATCCATCTTCGGATCCCATAATCTGTATCCTGTTCTTGCATATCCAACCATTCTCATTTCACTAGCCCGATCATCAAATTTATCATTTTTAGGTATATTCATCATCCAAGCTTTAGATCCAAAAATTCTTAAACGTTTCAAGTCTATATCTCTTCCAAATCGTTTAGCAGGTATATTAAAATTAATAGCCTTTGAGGGTGTAGTATTTATAAGATATGCTGCACAGAGTGTAGCTTCACCCCATAAATGTTTCGGTAGGTTTGATTCATTCAACATAATTCTAGTTTTATCGTATAACGTTCGATTCATTCTCTCAGCTGTGCCATTCATCTGAGGACTGTACGGATAAGTATACTCTATTCTGATACCTTTCTTTCTACATATATCTTTGAAATATGTTGAGGTAAATTCACCACCATTATCACATCTTATTCTTTTAATTCTCTTTTCTTTTTCAGTTTCAAATCTTCTTATATAATCCAGTAACTTATTTTCTGCCTCGCTTTTATTTCTCAATAGGTAGACAACAGTATAATGTGAATAGTCATCAATTATGGTTTGTATGTATCTATAACCTTCTTTAGTTAGAGTTCGTACTGGTCCTGCAATATCTGTATGAATAAGTTTACCAATTTGACAAGATTTTGGTTTAGTCACAGTTTTAAATGGTAAACAGGTACTCTTGCCTTTCATACATGCATTACACACTTCTTTACTATAAGGTAACTTCATAATGCTTAGATATTTTCTATTTGGATGTCCTAATCTTTCATGCCATAAATTCTCTTGTTTTGTTATATTGCAAATTTCTCCAATATTTATATTCATTTTTAATGTACATAATTTTCCTGATATTTCACCATAAAATGTTTTTTCTCCTTTAATTATTTTTAATGTATTATCCTTGAATATTAACATATAGCCTTTATTCATCAATTGTTTTACAGACAACAAATTATTACATAATCCAGGTACAATTAAGGCTTCTACATTCAATGTAACTCCTTGACAATGAGCCGTTAAACTTCCTTTTTTAGTAGCAGTTAAATAAGAGCCATTTGCTATTTTAATTTTAATTTCACACTTTAAATTTTCAATTTTTGTCATATATTGCATAAATTTATTTTGCATCAGGTTCTCTGTTGCTCCTGAATCAATGATATACTGTATAGTTCCTTCACCTTCTATAAAATTAGCTTTGCATTCATATGTACTCGCATGCATATCATAGTTTAGGCTTTGTTCATCATATCCTTGTGTCTCACCTACATTTGCATTCTGATATCTTTCACCATAATGATTTGCTTTACCTCTGTAATTATTTCCTCTGCCTCTATAATTATTTCCTCTACCTCTATAATTATTTCCTCTACCATTATCTTGCCGTCCATTATACTTTCCTCCTCCAGAAAAGCACTGAAATTTTTTGTGCCCTTTGCGGCCACACTTGTAACAGGTTTGTGCACTAAAATCAACAGCATTATCTGTATCATTACTCTCTTTTATTTCTTTCTTGGTTTCTTCAATTTTTTCTTTCATTTTAATTTCAGCGTCCAGCAGACGAGTTTTTATAAATTCTATGGTTAATTCTTTGTCACAACTCATTGTTTCCAACGCTGTTATTACATTTTCATAGTCTTGTGGCATGCCAAGCAATAAATGACAGATTTTCTCACTTTCATCCATGTTTTCTATTTGACTTACTATGTTGTCAAATGCCAAGAAGTGATCCTGCAATTTTCCTGAATTAAATTTAAGTTGCATTAACTTTTTCCTTAAATTTAGTTTACTGAAAACGGTTTTTCTTTCGAAGAATTGATCTAAACATTGTATCATTGAGATAGCACATTCTGCTTTTCTTATTATTTGTATGTACTTCTCTTCAACGCATTGCACGATAATAGACCGCGCCTTGGCATCATCCCTTTTAAAGTTTTCACTTTTTATACCCTTCAAAACATACAATACTCCCTTTTCCTCCAACAGTAATTCTACTCTGAACTTCCAATTTCCATAATTCGTTTTTTCCGTGAGTTGTGGCAAACCTTGAATGACTCGTGCGTATTCCGACGCCATTTTTGCAGTCGTTTGTAAAATATATTCGTGTTATATTTCAACGAATTCTACGATGCAGCCCATAACCTATTATTATGTGCAGAGTGCTTTATACATTATAAAATAATAATCTTCACTTTATGATATCATTTTATTGAAGCAAAACTCTTATAACTATTACAACTTTTTTGTAATCAACCATCATGGAAAAGGTGAGAATATATATATATGGACACAGAGTAATACAATAACGTAGACCACAGAGTAATATATAAACTTAAACCACAGACTATCACAACATCCTACATGTTGACCCGAATAACCAGCTATCACCATACCGAATTTCATCAAAATCCCTCCAGTGGTTTTTCTGTGATGCGGTAACAGACAGACACACAGACAGACAGACAGACAGACAGACAAAAATTCTAAAAACTATAGATTCGGCCTCTGTATCGATAATAATGTCTATTTCAATAAGATTTTCCAAAAAATATCTAATGTACAGTATTGTAACTTTTAAAATTTTTGTCTGTCTGTCTGTCTGTTACCGCATCACAGAAAAACCACTGGAGGGATTTTGATGAAATTTAGTATGGTGATAGGTGGTTATCCGGGTCAACATATAGGATACTTTTTACCGCGGGAAAATATCTCATTTCTGAGAAAAATACAAAAACTGCATTGTTATAGTATAGTACTCGTAATATGTAAAACCTAAGAATTTGATTTATGGTCATCTGAACGCGGGCGGAGCCGCGGGCAATGCTAGTATAAATATAAAATATTCATAATTCATCTCTTTCAACGTCCCACTGCTAGGCAAAGTCATCCTTTCAAAGAGAGAGGGATTAGGAAATAGTCCGCCGCGCTGGCCAAATGCGGGTTGGTCGGACTTTACACGTCTTTAGAATACTAGCTAATTTTTTTCAGTCGTGGTGCTTCACTAACGATGTTTTTTTTTCGTCTTATTAACAAGTGACATATTAAAAATGAGATTCGTACATAAAAAACTTAGAGATAACAGACCATTTCCAACCCCTTATTTCCAAAGCATGCCTGCGTTAGGTATGTAATGAGATACTATTATTATAATAACCCATAATTATTAACATACATGACTGAACTACAGGTGGCGGTATTTCATTTTTAAAAGACGCTTTTGTAAAGTTTCTTTCTAGGGACGAATCACTAGTACATATATATTACACTAGCGACTCACCCTCGCTTCAATCGGGTTCGACCCTATAGATTGCTTCCCCATACAAACTTTCATCCCCATTTTCATCCCCTTAAGGGATGATTTCCGAGATAAAACTATCCTATGTCCTTTTCATAGTCTCTAAATCTATATATAGATAAATTTCATCTAAATCGGTTCAGTAGATCCAGAGATTACCCCCTACAACCTTACAAGCTTACAAACTTTACCTCTTTATAATATATATATATATATTCTTTATTGCACTAAACAAGTAATAAAAAAATACATAGAAAATGATATTAGTATAGATAAAGTATAAGTATAGATGCCATTATTAATAAATTATAATATTAAATGAAAAACTACTTCACTACAATATTTCTACTACTATCGAAATACTATGAAAACGCACATTCCCCGATCGGGATTCGAACCAGCGATCTCTAAAGCCATTAAAACATGCTGCACTACGCCACACGACGGTCTAATTTATAGTTTAACTATACAATACACCTATTAACAACTCTAACTCCCCAACGGAAGCCAATGAACGACATGTGGGGCGGATGAAGTCGTATTTTCAAAGTGCTCAAGTAATAACAAGTTATAATATAAAGGTGCCAGTGGGAGTCGTAAGTGCTTCCATGGGCTTCATATATCGGTATTGGAAATAGCTATTAAACTTATTTTATTTATATGAGTGGAGTTTTAACTCCCTTAAGGGCAATAGGCTTATAAATATATGAAAAGTATAAAAAAACGCCCAAAAAAGTCGGGAAGTTTTGTCTAAAAAGGTAAACAAAGGTAAAATTTTAAATGAAATATATTTCGATTAGGCGCGTCCCTAGGCAACTTTTACAAGCGATAAGTGTTCTATGGGAACTATTTGACGTCTTGTGATAAAAATACTCTTATCCTGCTATCAAAAACCTCTTTCAACCTACTGAATTTTATTTTTTTCCATTTGTAAAGATTATAATTTTACTTTATCAAATAGGTACCATAAACTATAAAGGACTAGCTACTCACCCTGGCTTCGCTCGGGTTCATGCCTAGTGAAAAACAAAAACAAATCTTTCCTATGGGAACCATACATTTTCCGGGATAAAAACCTATGTGATCTTCCAAACTATATTCTATTTCTGTGCCAAATTTCTTTTAGATCTTTTCAGCTGTTCTGGCGTGATTGAGGAACAAACATCCATCCATCGAAACTTTCGCATTTATATAGTAGTAAGATTGTACACCAATAATAATCCATTCAACATGTACATTTGATTTTGTTGTCCCAATGCTAAGACAATGCATGCTACAAAATAGATCCCTCTAAGCAAATCGAACCTTAGACCGTCATGGTTGGAAGCACATACGGCAGTTTTCGCGAAAAAAAAACGTATTAAAAAATATATATATATATTTAAAAAATCATTAAACCTTTTTTATACGATGTCGTTGAGAAACTTTTTCATTCTGCGGATGTTTTATCAGCCAGACTATGTACAACTTATCGCGGATAGAGAAGTAAGCTCTTAGTCTACTTTATACTACTGTGTAGTAAATAATCAACAATACCAGAACTTTTATATGTAAGTATCTCAACATGTATTTATTTTATAAAAATTATAATACATAATGGGTGGGTAAAGAATATATTTATTATTATTTTTTTATTTATTTTTTTAAATTACAGCAACACCAAATTGTTTTTTAAAAATTTCAACTGACTCCTTATAAAATTGAAAGATTCGGGCTAACAGATGGATGTACATCGTAGGCCTATTAGGATTCTAGTATAGCAAAGTTATTACACGAAAAAGTTATTACAGAATACTTTTTATAAGAGTTTTTAAGGACATTACATAGAAATGTTACTTGCTTTTCTCTATTGGATCCAAGGAAAAATCAAAAAAATTGAGAATCCATTTTAATATTATAAAAGCGAAAGTAACTGTCTGTCTGTTACCTTTTCACGCTTAATCTGCAGACCCGATTTAGATGAAATTTGGTTTGAAGATAGTTTGAAACGCTTGAAAGGATAATATATGAAAGTTTTTGTGAAATTATTCCTTAAGGGGGTGAAAATTTGTATGGTAAATCAATTATTTCTCAAATAAGGGATATGAAACTCATCCTACTTATGTATATATATACATATGTATATATATGTATGTATATATATATATATATATATATATATATATATATATATATATATATATTCATCCATATTCCATCTAACCCTTGATAATTTTACACCATATATAACACTCATAAGTTTATGAAATGAAAACTTATGAATGGTTTACCAAACTAATTCCTAGCGTACGTGTCGCGGAGGTTGCCCTTAATTACTTACATAATAACAAGTGCGCTTCAAGTGTCAGCAAAATGGCCGTGATCCATTTCATCTAAGCTCGTTATTTATGAATTCAACTCTAATTGAGGTCTTATACTGGTTAATATGCAAGCCTTTCGAAAAGATTTACGTATTTTCGTTTTATTTTGTAATTTGTTCAAGAAGAAATGCTTCTAGGTAATTTATAAAAGTTTGTCTTAAAAAATCTTTCACGTTAAAGATGTTTTTGTTTGTAATAATAACATTAAACACATCAATATTTCAAACGGATATTTAATGCTATATTGGAAGTAAGATTTAATATTATTCTGTAGATTTTCTATAGATTCCGTATATTATACAAGTATACTCGAACAAGTGATTCGATTGATATTATTCAATTATACATAACTTGCCTTATATATATTTTTACACTAGTGACACACACTCTGCTTGGGTTTGTCTCTACTTACGCTTTAACGTCTCGTATAGATTTCTCAGTGATATTTTCCCGCAGTAAAAAGTATACTATACGTTGACACGGATAACCAACTATCATCATACCAAATTTCATTAAAATCTGTCCAGTGGTTTTCTCATGATGCGTTCCCAGACAGACAAACAGGCGAAAATTCTAAAAACTATACATTCGACCTCTGTATCGATAATAATGACTATTTCAGGAAGATTTTCCAAATAAATATTTGATGGACAGATACGACTCAGAATTATATTATATGTATGAATATATATTATGAAACCATCAAAACCTATAGAAAAATTAAAACTACATACAAACAGTACTCGACGATTAAATTTGAGTAAGTGAAGTTTATAATACACACCAAAGAATAATAGCCCGTTTCACCCTTCTCTTTTCATTAATGTAGGCAGCCCCACGAGTCTAAGCCTTTGAACGTATACCTCGAGATCTAAAATCAATAGAAGATTACACCCTAGAGACTAATTGCTGGCTTTCAAGTTCTCTTAGTTTCAGACAACGTCGTCGAGTCGGAAAGAAGCAAGCCATAAATGAAATTTTATCATATGAACTAGCATTTCCCGCGGCTTCAGATGACCAAAAACCAAATTCTTAGGTCTTACATATTAGTAGGTATACTCTTAACATTGCAGTTTTTTTATTTTTTCTCAGAAATGACGAAATTCTATATACATAAACTTAAAGAGCAAATCCTCATGATCTTCGTTCGAGCGGTTTCACGAAATAAATCTATATATATATATATATATATATATATATATATATATATATATATCAATATAATAATATATACAAGAATAACTCACTTAATATTATAAAATAATTATATATTAACTGATATTACAAAACAGTTCTACCATTTCTCTGTGTAAAGTTTCACAAATTTTCAATCTAAGAGCAAAAGTGATTTTCAAGTAGATGAAATAAAACTTTTCTAATTTGCGCACAGGTGTTGCTAATATAGTTGGCTCTATTATAAT